GGGGCTGAGATCACCGTGGAGGCCTCTGTCACCGTTCAGCGGTGGGTTGAGGCGTTTCCATGGGCAGGAGGGGGACGGGGCGCGGGGAGACTTCACCCAGCACCTCAGCTGGGCCGAGCACGGCCCCGGGGATGGCGTTTGAGCCTGTTGGCAGCTGCGTGTGCATCCAGGTGAGTCAGAGCCTCCACTTCTGGCACCACCAGTGGGCCGGGAGCCCTGGGTGAGGCTCAGCGCCTGGAGAACGGTGAATTCCTCGTGTCCCATCACAGCGCTCCCTCCCCATGGCAAGGCAGATGGATTTCTACAGAAAGCCCCTTTCCATTAGAGCATCCTTTCCACGCCATCCATTTTTTCTAGCCCCCCTCAGAAACTGAACCCCAGCTCTAACAAGTCACCACCACATTCCAAAACATAAACCATTTTAGTAAAAAAATAATTTATTACATCTTATGTACAAACTCCAGAATGTTTCCTTATAAAATACTGTGGCAGAAGCTGCAGGCAGAAGGAGTGAGCTCTCCAGGTTGTCATCTCCAACGAGGGATCTTTGGTTCTAAACCAGCTCAGTTCAGCTCCACAGCGTTTGCAGCTCGAGGTTTGCTCACTGGCTCACAGAGGTGAGCCCACAGCCCCAAATGTTCTTGGTAACCCGCTGCTCTGCGAGCAGTCCTGTGGCACTTCATGGGGTTAGAGAGAAAAGATACAGTCTAAGACACAGTAGAAGAGGGAAATCTGCACACCCTGCAAGATTTAACACTGGCATTTCCCCTTTTGGTGCCTTAGCAAGATCTTTCATGAACAGTTCTAAGATTTCAAGCACAATAAACAAACCAAGACTTCACCCAGACCTAATCCCACCACGTTTGGATTGGGAAGTGATGCTGCCTCAACACCACAGAATCAAGCTGTTACTTGAGGACAAACCTCATCATTTGGAGTTAACAGCAAAACACACACTCATTTCAATGGGATCAAGGATTCATTGAATGAAAACCAGGCTGGGCTCTAACCTGCCCTGCTCCATGCTCAGGTGCCTGAAACGGAGACCAGGAGCTGCTGTAAACACCAGCTGAACTGGAGCAGTTCCTCTGCCTGCTCTGCTGCAGCCTGCAGGATCCTCCTGCCTCATCCCTAACACAATCCCTGCAGAGTACAAGGCTAAATCCCTGCTCCCAGATCCACTTTCCTTGCCTGGCGAGGCGTGGGGAGCACCCATGGGGTGGGGGGCTGAGCGTGGCTCCTCAACATGCCGCAGGAGCCAGCTGCCTGCCCGTGATCTCACAGAGCATTTCGGCGAGGAGCTCCATGATGTCCGCGTTGCCGATGATGGGTCGGAAGAAGAGATCTGTGACGAGGGCAGGAGGGATGGATTTCAAGGTGGAGGCAATCAGCAAAATGCGGGCGAAGCGGCCCTGGTCCTCGGGGTGCAGGGGCTGCAGCACCTCCTGAAGCGCTCGCTGGGCCTCCTGCTGGAGGCTCTCGATGTACAGGGAGGCCCTCAGCCCAGGGACGTCTGCCGAGGGACAGGGAGAAAAGATGGTGCTGAAGGAGGCTGGAAAAGCATCCCAGCTTTTGCCCGTCCCACCCTTCTCCTTCCCTATTTCTCAGAAGGGATCTCCAAGGCCATGCTAATGAGGTGTAAACAGCACTATGGAGTTGTAGCTATTCCAGGGCTGTTGTTCGAGGGAGGAAAAGTAATTAACTAGGTAAACTCCTGCTCTGTATCAATCCTGGGGTGCTTTAGTGCCTGCAGGGCAGGCAAAGCTCTGGTATCCCACCTCCCCACTTCCTAGTGTTTTTGGTAGCAGGCAGTGTTACGAATGAGGTAGCGGGATGCTCTGAGTGTCCCCGAGCCAAGAGGCACACGTGGAGATGCTGATGGGAACAGTGTGAGCTCTCCCACCAGCAGACACAGCCATGAGCACTGGGCACTCACCAGGATTGAAGAGAATGGCTCCCTTCAGGTAGGCGTACTCCTTGGGGCTCAGGTCCAGGCTCCAGAAGGTGTTGAGGCAGCACTGCAGCCGCTGCACAGCCGCCAGCGTGGGCTGTGTCCACTCAGGCTCCTGCCGTTTGCTTTGCCCATTGAGGAGGATCTTCTTGAGCATGCTGGGGGCTGGGGTCTCCATCACCTCGAAGGTCACCATCTCCTGGACCAGCCCCAGGAGGAAAAGGGGGACCCAGCAGCTGTCCAGCAGCAGGAGCTGGTCCTCTCGTGGCAGCAGGTTGAAGGAAGGGAGGTTTTTCATGAAGCTGATGGTCTTTAACAGCACGTTGGAGGCCGCCTGGCAGGTGACGTGGGGCGTGCGGAGGCAGACGGTGCGGCGCTGGTGGCAGAGGCAGCGCTGCTGCACTGGGCTGTGGCTGAGGTTCTGGCTGAGGAGGGTGTACAGGATGGCGGTGTGCTTGTCCTCACTGTGGCACTGGCACCTCTCACAGTCCATGTCCACGCTGCTGCTCGTCATAGCCGAACCGAGCGGCTGGATCCTCAGCAAAGCTCAGCTCCTGCTACAGCAGACAGGAGAGAAACATAAAATCCCTCCTAAATGTTTCGCTGCAGGCTGGATTCTCCCAGTCCTCCCAGCTCTGCCAGCCCATAGCTGCTCAAACCTACTCTTATAAGGCCGGGCCAGCAGTGAAACACCCCTTCACAGCCTTGACCGCGCTGTGATTAAGCAGTCACTATAAAAGCCCAACCACCCGCCGTCCCCGGGCTGATTGGCCGGGGCAAAGTTGTTTTCTGCACCGTGTCAACGGCCGTTTTCTCAATGAAGCAGCAAAGGAAGGGGCCAGTGGGTTGGGCGACCTTATCACCATTACCCAAACAGTATAAACAAAGTCATTAACCCAGCCTGTACCATGGCACCAAGGCCCCTGCACTGCTGGCGATGTCACTGCCAGCAGGGTCACACACACTCGTCTGGGGCCTCCCTTCCATGACCTGTGTGCTCCGGCCTTGGAATGAGCAACCTGGAAGTTGCTTTATCAGTGGCTGTTTGCCTGACCTCGCTGAGGAGACTCTGGTTGTTAGAGGAAGAGAGAGCTGGTGAGCCATGGGCTGTGGCAGTCGGCCCCAGGCGAGGCCCATCGATCGGTTCAGGTCTCTCAGGGGAAGCACAGGGCAGGAGAAGGGCAAATTCTTGGATTTTCACCTGGAATTACTGAGTGTTTTTATCCATTGACCAACAGGAATTGAGGCAGGGAAGCGGCAGCTTCAGTCATGGGTTTCCAGGGGGGTGGTGGGAGGAGGAGGGATACCTGTGGCACAGAGGGAGACACCCCCCCTAATCCTAACACACACAGGGATGGCAAAAAATACCCCATTTGGAGGAGCCATCAGATGGGGCAACTCATTTCACCTTGCTTCAGCAATGCGTTTCATCAGCACCATGTGCTGCCAGCCCCCGAGCACACCAGCTTCGGGTTGTTCGGGCAGGGCAGGCTCAGTATGGCACAGACATAGAGCCAACGAGGCTGCAAAAGACCTTTAAGACCACCGAGTCCAAGCATTACCCCAGGACCACCTCTAACCCACACCACTGAGGGCACACCAGCACACGGGCGGCGTTTATGCCAGGAGACATGAGGTTTGGGTTTATTTTACCTTCTCTGCTACTCCATCCTCTCCCCCGGGGAGGAGATAAAATAGAACAACGAGACCAGACCACTCCAAGCCACC